GGAGTGGGTGACCTCTCTGTAGGCCTGTCTATTGTTTGGCCGGAGCTGAGTCACGGAGACCAGTATGGTTCCGGGGCTATTTTCACTCTCAGATATTTTCAAAACAGGTGAGCTTCAGAGGAGTGTTAACAATGTCAGTATTCACACTCGCTAGGTTAGACAGTGGATCTCCTTTTTCCTAAGCAAGGTATGGGGGCTTGGTATTCCTCCAGGCAGAAGAGGATTGACATAAACAATGTAGAAATTTGCTCAGAGTCTGGTATCAGGGTAGCGTAACCGGCATGTGGTGGGAACCAAGGCGGCTTGGTAGAAGTGTGTGAGAACGGGGCCCTGGGTCGGATCCCATAACCTGTCCCAATCTAGCTCATCTGTCACCCTCACTTGTGACTAATGACTTCAGGGCTGGAGATGCTAAGAACTCAGTCTGCTGTGACATCAGCCCAGCAGTCTCAGCTGTCGGGAGGGCAGAGAGCTGAACAAGCTTTACACTCTCCGCTTTCCCTGTAACCCCTTGTATTCCAGAAAGTCCAAGGGTGCCACTCTGGCCATGAATTTTACTTAAAGATTGTATTTCTGATGTTGCAAATATAATAAAAGGGAAGAACTGTACTGCCCCATCAGGTTCCCAAGGCCATAATCGTTACAGAAGCAGACTGCTTCATCCTTGTCCCTGGGAGTGGCTGGGGGGTTTGAACCACTAACCTTTCTCTAGCAGCCAAGCCCTTTAACCACTACACCACCAGGGTTCTTTAATAAAAGAATATATATTTATAGATACATGAGTATAAACAAAGATAAACATAAATACACACACCTGTACATGTACATGCGTATTTAGATAACAATTCATACATATGCACTGCCAATGACTCAGACCCCCTTGGGATCCCAAGGCTGTAACTCTGGCTGGGAGGGGACTGCCTGTCTTCTTTCGAAGCACTGCCGGAGGATTAAAGCCAACAGAGACGTGCAGCTTTTTGGTACACACAAGCTCCCAACTTCAACACCAGGGCTCCTCCTCCGTCTACACAAGGGCCTTTGGTGTCTTAGTAGGAAGGAGTTGCACTGCCATGCAAAAGGTATGTAGTTCAAATCCACCAGCTGCTCTGAGGGAGAAGGATGGGCAGTCCCCTCCCATGAGACTGCCTGCCCCTGAAAACCCACCAGAGGGTCAGCTAGGAGTCATCGGTTCCAACTCGGTGGTTCACAGCATACACCTGTGATGTTGTACATAGAAAACGTGACTGCAGTCAAGTCAGAATTGCCCCGCGGTGGACCCTCCAGTGAATTTTCCACGGTGGTAAATTACACAGGAGATTGCCCGTCTTTCTCCTGCAAAGCCAGTGCTCAATTTGAACCACCAGAGAGGTGCTTTGAGCTTCGCAGCCCAGATCCCTATGGTCTGTGCTATCAGAGCTCAAATGTCCATCGGTTCAACTCTAAAATGTTTCTCTCCTGCTATAGTCTTTCTTTCCAGATACTCTATTCATCTGTAACCAAAGTATGCAAATGCAATAGTTAGAGCCTAGCATTTGCTGTCTTTTGTAAGCAACTCTGTGTGTGTTAAAAGTGTGCCACAGGGTGTAAGGGCTCAGTGTTTGGAAGGAGACTGCCAGTTATTTCTTCCAAGGTACTTCTGGGTGGACTTGAAACTTCAACCATTTGATTAGTAGCTAAGAGTGTTGACTGTCTGCACTCACTGAATATGGACATTTACTAGCATGAATTTGGAGAGCTGTAAGGAGGAATACAGGAAACACATCGGTAGCTGTGAGATGGTGAACTTTTAAAACAAGAGCCTTACAGGGGGAATTAGAGAAGGGAGAGGGAAGAAAGTGCATGCATGAATGAATGATTAAAAAGAAAATCTTCAATAAGAGAGGCTTAAAAACACCTTTTGAAAGTAGGACATCATGCCAAAACAGAAAACTCGTCAAGAAAAAAAACGTGTCAAAGATTGGGCTTGTGTTTGAAATGTCAAAGAGAGTATGTTGTTGTCAGGTGCCACTGAGTCTGATCTGACTCACCTACAAACATCAGAACAAAACACGGACCAGCCTGGTGCCACCCTCCCAGTCACTGCTCTCTGGGTCTGTTCCTTGAATCCCCTACAGTAAAGGTGACGGACTGAAAGTATAACTTTGCAGTGTATTTAGGAAGAGATAAACTTTAATGTTGAGTTGCTGTGTAACACTAAGTAACTCAACAGAATAAGCAAAAGATATAAAAATTCATAGAAAACAAATCGTTACTAAACATACTCAATCTGATTTATAATTGAGGAATGCATCCATTGCACATATTTCCATAAGCATTTAACAATTTACCTTTAAGGTTTGTTGTACCATTATTGACAAGATTGTAAACAATAATAAATAAAATATGGTATGTGGTTACCCAGCTATTAAGACCGATTAACTTTAAATACTGACATGAAAAATATGATATGCTATTTCTACCCATGGAAATTCTATCTAGCCATTTACAAAAATACTGATTTTACAGTCAAAGTTTACACAGTAATTAGATGCCCATTCAACAATTTCTATACACTCTCCAGTGACATTAGCTACATTCTTGACAATGTGTGTTCTCATGACCAGTTCTAAAATAATCTAGGTTCTCTCTCACCGCTTCGTTTAAAGTAACGGTTGACCTTTTGGTTTGGTATGTTTTTGGTTTTTGTATGTTTTCTTTATAGGGCCACAAGCAGTACTTTGTGATTCAATCTGTTACGGGACAATTTCAGTTCAAGGACTTGAGTATCTTAGGGTTTAAGTCTACAAGCGCTCTCCTCTCAACTGGCGCAGTAACTGAGGCTTTAAGATTAGGATCTGCCTGCTCTGTCCCTGGATGCTGGAAAGGGCAGCCAGGCACCATCTAGTTCTTCTGGTCTCAGGGTGGCGAGGCAATGCCCTGGCTCATGCAGATGGTCCTGCAGACACTGAGCCCTGGTCTACCTTCTGCCAGCCTCATCTCTTTAAACGAAGCCCACTGGTCCTCTAGTATGCAAACATCTCTTCACTAGGGGATCCTTCTGCGAGCAGCCCCTGTTCTTTGCTGGGTCTCACGTCATCAAGAGGGTACAGCTTCTCTACTAGGATACACACATGCTGAGGGTAGGTCTCTATCAGTTATGTCTTTTATCACCCAAAGCATGTTGAGCAACACTTTCTACAAGTTCTAAGAGCCAGTAAGTGAACAAATGAAACAGCTCCTTCAACAGGGCAGCAGTGCAGGGCTAAGGTCATGGACTTAGGCAGGGTTAGACACCAAGTATCGGGTGTCCAAGGGAATCTGCCAGGCAGCAGACGACCTTGCCATTCTTGGGTGGAGATGGGTTTAAACCTCTGACCTATCTGCAGATGAGAGCTTAACCACAGTGCCCCCCCAGGGCTTCTCAGGATGTAAAGTACTCCTGACAGTGGGTGGGGCCAAGTCCTTTGACCTTTTTCCGTTGTTTTCTTATGCCACTGCCACAGTGTGGTGATATTTACCTGACTGGTGAGTTACAGTACGCAAAAGCACTCTATAAATGACTATAAAGAACTCTTTTTACTACGCACTTAAACCTATAGAAGAACAATGCCTAGAGTGTTTAACATCTTCACTTTTAGTGTGTTCCACGAAGGCTTTCAAATCAAACCTGCCCCTTTCATACCCTTTTCCTTCCCCATATTGTTGTGGAGACCTGGTGTCACAGGGGGTTAAGTGCTGAGCTGCAGCCTGAAATGTCAGTGGTTCTAACCCACCAGCTGCGCTGGGAGAGAGGTGTTCCCATCGAGATCACAGCCTCTGATGGCCCATGGGCAGGTCTACCCTGTCCTGCCAGGCTTGCCACAGCTGGAATTGATTTGACAAGAAAGAGTTTGGTATTTACGATGTCTGGAAAGCAAGTTACCTTGATGGCCAAAATTGCTCAAATGAAAAGGAAACTCAGAGTGGTTACATTTTGCTCCCTCTGCTGGCTCGGGGCTGGGCGACACTGTTAGAGACTAAATCAAGAGAATGGAAGTGTTTTCTTTTCATGGACTTGACCAGGTAGAGAGGTATAGTGACTTTTCACGTGAAGACATAAATCAGTTTCAGTTCTGTCTGAAGAGACAATGGAGCAATTCATTGATGCCTGTTTTAAACTATTCCTTATCTTGGGGTTCAATCCTGGAAAATCTTTTGTTCCCGTTCATTAGCTGCCTTCATTCCTTCCTTTTTTCCCCTTCCTCAAAATGATGACAAGATTCTGCTTTTCGGACTTACAGCCAAAATCCAGTGACTACACCCCAGTGTGTGGTTTCTGGGACTGTCTCTGCTTGGCTCCCACTGTTCCCTGTAGCTGTGCACTGTCAAACTGATGGCTGTAAGACCAACTGAACTTGGGACTTTCTTTGTACTCAGACTCTCTATACGAAAGCTGGCTTCTTAAAGCTCCATCCACAAGGACGGACATACTTGTATAGCGTGTGTGAAGGACGACGGTACAAGAGCAGCAAAAGGGTTATTAAAACGGATGCATGGAAATCACTTACAAAAAGACCCCAAGTTCAATAAAGCTGCCCCTCCCTGATTTTCCTTTTTTGGTTGCTGGAGTCGAAACAATGACTTTAAAATGATCAGAAATCTTTTCCTTCCTTTTAAAAAAGTGATATATTAAAACTTATGTACAGGATCGTTAGCAAAATGTAGAAAGGGAAAAAACAATGTACAAAAGACAGGTTAAAAACCATCACTCTGACAGAAACAGACAATCCAAAAATAGTCTAAACCTTAGCAAACGAGCTCTGAACCTGCTCCTGACCCACGTTTTTGTTGGTGAGAATAAAACAGGACACTAGCAGGCCCTCTCTTTCCAGTCCTCAGAAATGGATTTGCTGTGGAGACCGCAATTACGCCTGGAAGAGATTTTTAAATACGAGGGGGACAAGGGGGAACGACTTTATCTGTCCTGTTGGTAAGAGAGCCAGGTGAGAGCAGTGGGCACCGGCTCCAGGGCCTGGGCGCCCTCACTCGGCAGTCTTTTTGTTTTTCTGCTGGTTTCGGGGAGAGTTCTTTAACAAGCTCCTGATCCGGAGGTACATGCCGGTGGACTCAGCCATGTTTTCGAACTCGAATGGCGTTATGCCCATCGCAAACTTGCTCATGTCAGGAATGGGGCTGTGTGTCTTCCCGGCTGTGGAGGGGCTGGCGCGTGGACGCGGGGGCTGCTGGCCGTCAGAGGCGGGCAGCTCGCTGCCGGCCCCCGCCCGAGTCCCGTTCCCGAGGTGTGGGGGCTGCTGGCTGGTTCCCTGGCTCCCATCAGAGGCGGGCAGCTCGTTGTCGGTGCCGGCCCCAGTCCCGTTCCCGAGGTGTGGGGGCTGCTGGCCGGCACCCTGGCTCCCATCAAAGGCAGGCAGCTCGCTGTTGGTCCTGGTCCCAGCCCCAGTCCCGTTCCCGAGGTGAGTGTTGCTGGAGTCCAGCGGGGTGGGCGCTGGCTCTTCCTTCTGGCTGAACACTGGGACCTCGGCATCTGGACTCTGCGGGGATTCGGCCACCGCTGCCGCCGTGGGACAAGCCTCGGAGGCGAGGGCCACCTGGACCCCACCGGGCACCTGCGGCTCTGCTGGCTTCCCCTCAGGCACGGGGAGCTCGGGGTCATTGGGACAAGGTGAGGAGGCCACAGAGTTCCCAGTCAGCGGCGTGTCGGCCGGGATGTCCGAGTCACTGGTGGCGCTCTCGGCCTGCTCCAGGGCCGCCCAGATCCGCCTCTGCTGCTCCTCCAGCTCCTCCAGGCTCAGGGCGTCCTCGTCCATGGCCATCCCGCGGGCCTGTGGCGAGTCCCCGGGGGTCACAGGCGGGGTGCCTTTGGGGAGAGGCGGCGTGAAGACGGGAGGAGTACCGGGCGGCAGTGGGGGCTGAAACTGAAACGCGTCCGTGTCACCGCTCTGGGAAGCCTGCGGCGCCTCCACGTCTAGAAACAAGGCAGGAGAGGAGGGTTAGGGGGTGCTGTGACCTCTGGCCATGACCGTCCTCACCCGTGTGACACAGGGCCTCCGGAGGGTCAACAGCTGGAGGGGGAGGGGGGCTGTGGCATCAGTTCACAGCAACTCCACGCAGACAAGGCAGAGACAACGCCCGAGCTTGGCACAGCGGCAGGAGCGTGGCCTGGAGGTCGAGCCCAGGCATCGAACTCTGAATCTCCAGATCATCCTTACCACCACCCTCACTGCCTCTGCGGGGCTCAAGGCCACCAGCACAGCCCACGGGGGCTCGCTCCCTCCCTGCCGCTGACCCTCCACTTCACCAGGCCTGATGTCATCACACCACCACAAGCTACTGCCCAATTCCCACAAGCCACTGAAAAGCAGGCTGCCCAGTGCAGGCCGTTCTCAGCAACGCCCTGGCAAATCTGTCGTGTGTGTGTGTGTCCTTCAGAACGGGGTGGATGAACCAGGTCTGGGAGCCAAGCGGACGTCGTGTGAATGGCAGCAGTGGGGTTGGTTTTTGAGCTTTTTCCTTGAGTATCAGTAAGTGAGACAAGTTCAGTTAGACCAACTTAGCTCTAGAATGTAGCTTGATCTGGGACCCTGACATGTGGTGTGCTGACTGGGAACCCAACAGAGTGAGAGAAGGCTGTCTTGGGGTGGGGAGGTACCCGTGAGGCAGGGGGACAGAGACATGTGACTGCCAGCTCTGGCGAGTGTGCGTGTAGCCAGTGGTTACTGACCAGGCAGTCTGTAAGGTTCATCTCCTGAGAATCTGTGGCTTGGGCATGAGGCAGCTGCCATGCATTCAGATCTGCAGTGTGTCACGTGTCAGAGCAGAAATGTGCACATCAGATTTCGAATGGCTGACCTTCAGAAGCAGGTAATCAGGCCTTTATTCCAAGGCACCTCTGGGTAGACTAGAACCGTCAAGCTTTCAGACAGCTGCTAAAGGCACTGACTGCTCTTTACCCAGCAATGCCCTGGCTTGGGTACAGGCACACGAAGTCAGCCGCACAGCACTGTGACCTCACCAGGTGACCGCAGGCCACAGCAGGTCCGTTTTCCTGGAGTGGCTGTTTCTAGAAGGAGAGGCTTAGCTCCTCAGTGGAAGCAAAGAGGCGGGTTAGTAAGCAGAACCACCACAGCAGATGGCCGGGCCCGGGGGGCCTTTATCTAGCTTTGCGCAGAAGGGTCCAGGCTGGACACGGCTGCCCAACTCAGTGCAGACCCAGGGACAGAGAGCCACCACCGAGAAATCTCACACCCAAGCAGTTAGGTTTCCCATGACTGGAAATGGCAAGCTCAGCAGCTTTCTCCTGCAGACAGCATCAATGCGAAAGCCCCAGTCACTGTCCTCCCAGGAGGTGAGGGGACCCAGATAACTGAGCTGACCCATGAGTGTCCCAGAGACAGAGACCGGGGGTCTGTTCTCCTAAGACACCCGCCTCCAAGACCACAGGAAAGTGCTGGGCGTGGGGTATGCAATTTTGTCCGGGAAAAGTGGGTTTTGGGGAGCAGAATGCTGTCAGATTTGGCAACGCAGCAGAGGTTAGGGTAACTGTGTGTTTCTCAGAACTGTGTGGCCTAAAAAGGGACTGAGCACTGAAGGACGGGTATGGGGCTACACCACCCGGTTGTAGAGTCAAGTCCAGGCCGCAGAACTCCCGTGTGGGGGACCAAACCTCCAACCTGCTGCCGTGGGGTTGATTTCCACACACATGGAGCAGAACGGCCTCACCAAAAGTCCCAGGCCGTCAGGCTCACGGAAGCACATTCCTACTGGTCTCTGTCCAGCCTCACTAGTCATGACGGCAATAACCAGCTTCTCCCAAAGTAAATAAGGACATGTTATCTATGCGATGCTCACGTGATGCTGGGCTTCGTACAGAGCTCTTCCCTCTGATGTCACTCCAAACAAAGCAACCGCGCGGCCCGAATCGCCTCCACCCTCAGCACCCTGCAGACAGAGCGGCCCTGGCCCCTCGGCGTTGCCGGCTGTGACTGTCCCCGGACAGGGAGCACGGAAGTCCGCCGAGGACGCTCTACCTGAGTCGAGCTCCATGTTGGTGGGGGACGCGTCGCAGCTGCTCTCCCTCTTCTGCTTCTTTGGGCTGTAGGGGCTGGACTGCGAGGAAGACCTCTTACTGCTGGACTTCACGCTGGGCTACACGGAGGGACCAATGCAAACGCAGGCTAAGAGGGAGTCGGCCAAGGGTAGAGCAGACTCCATCCTTCACTCAACATGCTACAAGCCTAGGCGACCAGTGATCCAGCCAACGAGGTTCACCAGAAAACATGTTTATACACAAAACAAGAAAACGGAGTGAGAGGAAGGAACCCTCAGAGCTCTATGGAAACTGTTTCTAAACCCCACAGTGCCTGAGCGTACCCGTCACCACCACCGACCAGTCTAAAGATCGTAGCAGACACTGGATAAGGGGAACAGAATGGGAAACGGGGCTCACCCGGCAGCACAAACTGCTGGGATCCGGGAAATTACGGCCCTTAATTCCTGTCTGAATGTGAACAAATCCCATGCCCACGGCTCAACTTTAGTCAATCAATTAACAGGGTGATATTGTGATCAATAACACTCGAGCAGCACTCACTTCTTATGATGATCAACCATGTAGGATCAAAAGGGCAACAAGTGCCCAGGATAAAGGCCAGAGGGCAGGAAGGGGTGAAGGATGGAAGGCAGGAAGGGGTGAAGGCCAGAGGGCAGGAAGGGGTGAAGGATGGAAGGCAGGAAGGAGGGCAGGAAGGGGGAGGCCAGAGGGCAGGAAGGGGTGAAGGCCGGAGGGCAGGAAGGGGTGAAGGCCGGAGGGCAGGAAGGGGGAGGAGGGATTAAAGAAGAGGAGCACTGCAGTGAACTTGGTAATTAAGATTATGAAACAAAATGTGTAGGAAGGGTTAAACACACATCAGTGTGTCTCCAACCCTCCCCCAACCACATTCAAACACACCAACCCAGTGCCACACCCCCGAGAATGACTTACCGTTTGGAAGTTAGACGTGAGGTAGCTGGCAAAGGCGTCCTTCTGCTGCGAGGCCTGCATGGGTATGGAGCCAAACATCCTCCACTCCTAACAGACAGGGGGACACGCGTGTGCTCAGAGCCCACCGCAGGGGGTAAAGCAGAGGTCTCAACCACCTGCTGGCTCCCTTCAAGCATTCCTGGGCTAAGGTAAGGGGGATGCCTGGTGGTGCGAAGTCAGAGGCCGTCGCACTGTGTCCACCGCTGCCTCCGTGCACACACCCTCAGACACGATGCACAGAGATGTGTGGTTGGGGCAGCCGCACGGCAGTCCTCCTCTTAGGAATCAAAGCGGTCTCAATGGCAGTGGGTTAAGGCCATTCATTAGACTAAGCAGATCTGGTACAAAAATGTCTTCCTGAGGAAAAAAAATCACCTGGCCCACAAAGACTATCCATTGCAATTACGACAGTGGGCAATACCTACTTTAGTTCTGAAAACATGCTCTAAGACTTTGCACTTTTTCCTGATACTCTGAAAAAATTAGTAAAATTAGAAAGAGAAATCTTACCCTCTGAGTTTCCCTCCCACCCACCTCTGCATCTACTTCCTTATGTACAGTAATGGACAGACAAGCTAATGTACTACACAATACTTTACATAGTAGTACATCCTAGAAGGAAACAAGCCAACCAGCCACATACTCACATCTGGAATTCCTCTAGGGGTTGAGATGTTAAAACCGGGATAGTTGACCAACTTGGACAGATCATAGGTGACACTTTTCATCTGCTGCACTTCTCCAGCCTCTATGTCCCCGTCAGTGTCATCTATGAGAGTCGAAGGTGTTGCTGTTAGCAGACCCAGTGAAGGATGAGGGCCCTGCGGGCACAGTATGAAATGTACGGGGGCTGCTTATCAAAAGGATGGGAGTTCAAATTCTAGCCCAGCCTCGGGACCTGAGTGAGGGCCAGCCCGAGTGGGAACTGATTCCACAGGAAGTGGGCTTGGGCTTGGCGGTAAAGGGAGGGTGGCTGAAATGTGGACAGGCTTTGGGATCCAGGGAGAGCCCATGACGAGGTAACTCTCGGATGCTATCTAACAGACAGGATGGGACTGGTGAAGATTGTTCCTCTTACAGTTGTATTCTGAACTGTTAAAGTAATACTCAGACATAATTTCATTTTTTTAAATAAACCTGACAGCATTAGAGAGAAAATGGTCCCTAGCCGTACTTTTTGCCTGTCCCACTGATGAGCTGGCTTGTGTTGGCCCAGACCCATTAAGAGTATCTTTTACATAAGCACTCAGAACACAGCACTAAAAAAACCCCCTCCAAACAAACCACACACAACTCTTCTACCTAAATTGGTTCCTTTGGCTTTCTGTTTTATATGGGAGATAATGGAATTATGTGCAAGCTGTTTAGAAATTAGTTTTGCTTATTTCTGAGATTTTGATGTGTCAGAACATAAGGATTTGCCCTTCACTCTTTTTAAATGTTTTAGGGATTCTGTAAACCCAGATTTACCAAAGTGTTTGTAGGGATTTTGTTTTTAAAAAAAGTCACTCTTATATTCAGTGCTATAAAAAGGTCTGTGTGTCCTCACGAACATGTAGATCAAGGGTCAGCTGATAGGAGGAATTTTAGCATCCAGGGCTTACACAGCCTTTCACTGGGCAGGTCTCCTGGCACAGAAGAGCAGGTGTCGTTCCGGCCCACTGCAATAACGTGAACTAGGGTGTGCGATAAAGGGTGTGCCATGAGTTTTTCTGATCTAGAAGTGCAAAGAAAAGTTGACATTCTACTGAAGTCCAGTAAATGCACAAAAGCATTATGAAAAAAGTACATTTCGAGAATTACCAAAATGTGACACAGAGAAAGGATATAGGCACACACTAGAAAAAAATGGTACTGAAAGACTTGCTTGAGCCAGGTTGACAAGCCTCGATTTGGAAAAAAACAAAGAGCATCTTCGAAGCACAATAAAGTGCAGTGTGGTGTAGCGAGGTCTGCCTGTGTGCCCGCTGTCACGACCGTGAGAGACAAAAGCCTGTTAGGGCTGGCTGCGGAGTGTCCAGCAGGGAGCCACCGGCCAGTCCAGATCCCAGCCAGCCGAGCTATGCACTTGTGGAAGTTTCTTTCTTTCCAAACTGAGGAATCGGGACATCCCAATTCGATTTCGTGTGATTCTTTTAATTAAAGAAAGAAAAGAACGCACAGACTTGTTGCACCTGCATGAGTGTACCTTTTCCGTCGTAGAGGGCAAGCCCTGAATTTTCCAGCTCGGCCTCCTTGAGCCAGCCCGGTGGGTAGCCCAGCTGGCGCATGCGATAGATGAAAGGTGGCAGACTCCTGTCCGTCACACCCAGCGCATCCTGAAGTTCCTCACTGAGCACAAACGAAAAGGGAAGAGAATTACTGCCTGCTTGCTCAGATAGAAATACATTGGCAGCTTCACAAATATTTTTACGTTTCAAAAGATGGCAAAAACAGCTCCACAATTCTGAACTATCAAGACAGTAAAAACAGTAATCTACAAGTGGACAAGGGGCTCTTGTAGATGGTCTAGTTCTAAGCATCTGTGCTGCAAATCCCAAAGGCACGCAGTTCAAATCCACCAGCTGCTCCGTGGGAGAAGGATGGGCAATCCCCTCCTGTGCGATTTACTGCCTCTGAAAGCCCGCTGGAGGGTCAGCTACGAGTTGGCTCCAATCCAACAAAAAGAGGATTCAAGGGCAGACATGAAGCTTAATGGGTATGAACAAGGCAAATGGAAAAACGTAAAAACCCTTAACCCACACAAATATTTGTTTTAAATTTGAAGACGCATGGCATAAAAATACGCAGGATGTCGATAAATTATTTTATGAACTGATACATTTACGTCGGGCCTTGTGAAGAGTCTCTTTCTATACTGACAAGCATCCTGAAGATCTATTTTAAAGAGAAACCAAAGCTGACTGTGGTCAAGTTCACGGGGAATCACAGAGACCGTAAAACAAAGGGGACCTGCCCATGGGGCTTCCACAGCTGCGACAGTGGACAGAGCAGACTTCCTTCTCTTCCCCCACATGGCACCCGAGGGATTCCAATCTCTAACCTGTGGGTCACTAACCCAACGTACAAGCCACTGTGCCACCAGGGCTCCTGAAGATGCAGAAGAACCAAACCAAACCTACAGGACCGAGTGGATGCGGACTCACAGTTAACCTGGACACGGCACAGCTGCCCCGTGGGTTTCGAGACTGCAGCCGTGAGGCGCTGGGCATCCTGCATTCAGCTTCGAGCCCAAGGACAACTGTTCACCTTGAGAGAAAGACAAGCTATCTATTCCCTGAAAGATTGCCGCCTCCGCCCTGCTGGGGGCCTGCCAGGAATCAGAACTGACGGCGGTGGGGTGAGTTTGGTTTCATGAATCTTGACACAAGCTCTTCCTTCCTCAGGACAGCTGGCTGGTGGATTCAAACTGCTCACCGTTTGGTAAGCAGCCAGATTTCTTACCAGGGCTCCTCTGAAGATACAGAGGACATTTCAATTACTGGGGGTGCTGGTGGAAAAAACCATCATGTCTATGGGGAAATGGGGAGCGGTGGTGGCCTGGTGGTCAGGAGCTGGGCTGCAATCACAAAGGCAGGAGGTACAAATCCACCAGGTGCTCTGCGGGAGAAGGATGGGCAGTCTCCTCCTGCGCGGGTAACTGCTTCTGAAGAGCCGCTGGGTGGCTCAGACTGGACAGTACCCACGGTCACGGTCACAAGAAATGACGGCAGCACCTGATGACTCCCGGCTTGAATCTCCCGAATCGCTCTTCCACCTCCTCCGCGTGGTACCGCTGCAGGCAGTTCTGGCTGGTGGCCTCGCCACAGGCATTCATGTATTCTTTCCGCTTTTCACTTATTCGAGCAGCATTTCGAGGCTAAATCATAGATGTTTGAAAAGAATGGTATTAAACAAGCACTGTCTTAGCTAACTAAACTAATTTAGCAAACTATTTCCATTTTAACATGCAAGGAATGGCACATTAAAAAAGAAAAAAGAGTGGGTATTTTAGAAAAAACAAGGAAGAAAAGTAATTGCTTCAATTTCCTATTTCTTCATCATTATTACCACATAAACACATTAAAAAAACCATGGGGTTTGTTGGGTTTTTTTTTGGGTGCGAAGTGGCACAACCTGCTATCAAGTATGCACCAGAACTCCCATAAATTACATTTTGCGATCTATCATTTGAGGGGTAGTGGGTCTACTGTTCAAAATGGCTTCCCCAGGGCACTGCCCTTGACTTTGGGCATGACTGGGCAGGAACACGCAAACAGAATGTTAGTCTGTCCAGCAGGGGATTGGCTACTTTCACCATTCCATCAGGTTTAAATCAAGCAGGCTCAGCTCTATTGTTTAACATGGCAAATTTCTCCACTTCACACAGCTTTACAAATGTGCAAAAAACAACAGTAAACTCAGGGTCAAGAGAAAAAAAAAATTACCATTGGGCAGTCTTTCATCTGATGCTCCTCCGAACCACAATTGAAACAGTGAGGCTTTGGCCTAGGTGGTCAAAAGACAAGTCTTCAGACGTAAACGAAGTACAAAAGCAAATCAACAGAATGACATCTGACAGCCATTTCTATCAGAAGCAAGAATGCAGGGAGCCGTGCAATGAAAAACGCACTCATTTCTCACACGGCCTGCACCGGCCAGCACAGGGCACCGTCTTTTAACCAAGAGCCCTCATGCTCCTGATGGAATCTGTTACCTCTTTGGTTTTTTTTCAGAGTGCTTAATAACAGAAGAGTCTAGGCAAAGAGCTGATCAGAAAGAGGGGAGATGGCTACGGGGCGACACTAATGGTGACACCTCTCCACCTCCTTAGCACATGAGATGAGAACCAGTAAACTCCAATAATCAGACGAATTACTTACCTATCTATAGATTAAAATCTTAATCTACAGTTGACAATATGCAAGCAATAAAGAATATTTCGCTTTTCAAGTTTGAACATTTTATGGCTTTGATTAAAAACCAGAGAGAAACAAGAAAAAAACAAAACCAGTCCCCACACAAACCTTTTCGCCTTCACTTGTATTTCCTGTCCTTCCAGAGAAACGATCTGGCTGAAGACCTGCTGGTACCTTTAGGGAGTTTTATTAAGGAATAGTGATCATGGTCGCAAAAATGTAGCTTTTAAAAAACACTGTTTAAAGGTGAACTTAATGGGAAGGTGCACAAGAGGTCTTCGTTCATTGTGTAGGATACTTGGGGATCTCCCATCCTTCCGTAAGTTGAGGGTTTTCATTTAGGAGCGGCTGCCCCAATTTATCAAGGCAAAATTTAGTAAAATACAGGACACTTCCTACAACCTGCAGGAAACAATTCAAAAAACAGTGCTATGTAAGCAAAGGGGCGGGGAAGACACTGAACACTGTAAGACTACAGCTAACTGCTGTGAGCATTCTGTTTTGGGTGAAATGATCGTGAACCCCCTAACCACACGAGGCTGATGTTTAGTGTGTGTGTAAAAGCTGCATCACGCCAGCCTCTGTCCTGGCTGCTCGAGGCCTCCCCCAGCTGGATTAGAGTGTGGACAGCTCTGCTGCAGCCTGTCCACCTCCCACAGCTCACATCTCTTCTCAACCAAGAGGTTCAGCAAAGTTGTCTGTCCGGTCTCCTCTGCTCCCCTCCCAGCATGTAAGCTCCCCCATGACTGATACAATCACGGTGTGTGTCGGCTACATTCTTGGGTCTTTTTCCTTACATCTCACTCACTCACGTTAGACTGTTATCTTTAACTGAACCATCCGAAGGCTTGAGACATCATTACACTTCATCCCTAAACAATTCATTACAAATCACAACATCCTGATCAACCACAGCTATGAAAAGGATAACATACAAACATAAAAACAAACATACGGAATACGTGCTCCATTTTTTTCCAGCTGTTACCCTTTTGTAGCTTTCCCTCAAGAACGGGGATTTAAGGTCCACATGCTGCTTTTAGATGTTACATATTTTTCAGCATCTTTTAATTCAGACCTGAACCTGGTGGCTTAGCAGTAAGGAGCTGTGCTGCTAATTCAAAGGCATGTGGTTCGAATCCAGCAGCTGCTCCTCAGGAGAGGGAGGGACAATCTCCTCCCATGTGATTTCCTGCCTCTGAGACCCGCTGGAGGGCGAGCTATGGGTCAGCTCCGACTATGCGGTACCACAATAATCTAGAACACGGCTCCCTGAGCCTCTGAGGTTCATTTAAACGTTCAAGTCCTATCACATCTCCACTGTCCTCTTACATCACTCAGCACAAAAGCCTGCGTCAGTCCTCACTAGAGCTCACTGGGACTCTGTGGGACTGGAGCTCCCTGACCTGAACGCAAACCTGGGCTCTGTGGCCTGCCCTTCTGCGCCTGCGCTCCCCCTCTGCACACTGAAAAGGAGCCCTAACAGGCTTCCAGCACTTTCTGGCGCACAGTAACAAAGACGGGACTGCTGGCTTCTGCTTCATGAGCTCTGCAGTTAACTGTCCTCCTGCCCGCAGTCCTCTCGGCTCACATAGGCAGTCAGTGGCCACTCAGGCCGACCCCACCACTGCTCCCTAATGGCTCCATCTGCAATACTGCGCCCCAGAGCACCGCCTCTGTCCCGGGAACGTAACTCACAGAACAGGGACTCTGCCGAGCTCTCCCTACTGCTCTGCCCCTCAAGCCTCAAGTCCGTGGTACCGAACATCATGTGGTAAATTCCTCCACTGCCGTTGGATCGGTTCTGAGCCTCGGCCCCCCTCTGCTGGGTTTCCAAGGCTGCACATCACACTGGAGGAAAATTGGGGGGCGGGGGGGTCCTTCTCCAGAATCACCAGGCACATGTAGTCTTCAGGTGAGCGCTGTCACACACTACAGCGCACGCCACCAGAGCTTCTTAGTTACCGGCATTTGTTACATAACAAAGTCAACAAGTGATGTTCCCAGTCTGCAGGAAGTCACCATTCCAAGTCCCAGAATCTCAGCGTTAGAAGGGAGATGGACTGGGAGCTCTGGTGGCCTAGTGGCAAGAAGCTGCACTGTAATCCCAGAGGTGTGCGGTTCGAATCCACCAGATGCTCTGCTGGGGAAGGAGGGACAATCTCCTCCTGTACCAGTCAGATCTGATTTGACGGTTGTTGTCGCACTGTCTCTGACACTCCCATCCCAATTATCCCAGTCACTGAATCAATCCACCTCATAGAGGGCCTTCCTCTCCTGCGC